ATTAAGAAAGAAATAGACAAGAGATAACTGATAGAGTTGGAAGGGCATCTAGTAAATACTGGGATTCGCCTCGTGTCTATTTCTCATAACCTTTATATACCCCTGCCCATAAAGGAGGGACAAAGACAAAAGACTTCCTTACCAGTATACAAAGAAAAAGCAATTATCTTCTCAGTACCCCAAATAGCAAGTAACCATATGCTAGGTCAAAATAACCTGTTGGCAGCCACACCTTAGATTAAACCTCCTGTCATACAACTAACTGGGAAGGAACAAGAATAGGTCTGAAGTCTCTGACCTTTAGTCAAGGTGGAACAGATCCACTTCTGTAGGCTCCCAAAGAAAATCTGGTCATATATAACCAACCATAAAAACAAACTGAAAGAAAAAGTCACAATACCATCTCATTAGATGCTGAAAAGACTTTGACAAAATCCAGTACCCCTTCATCATAAAAGTCTTGGAAAGATCAGGAATACAAGGAACACACCTAAACATAATAAAGGCAATTTATAGCAAGCTTATAGCCAACATCAAATTAAATGAGGAGAAACTCAAAGCAATCCCATTAAAAACAGGAACAAGATAAGGCTGTCTACTTTCCCCATATATATTCAATATAGTTCTTGAAGTTCTAGCTAAAATAGTAAGGCAACTGAACGAGATCAAGGAGATATAAACTGTAAAGATGTCAAAATAGAATTATTTGCAAATTATATGATAATATACATAAGTAACCCAAAAAATCTACCAGGGAACTTTTACAGCTGATAAACACCTTCAGCCAAGTGACTGGATACAAGATTAAAGAAAAAAATAATAGTCAGTAGCCCTCCTATATACAAATGATAAACAGACAGAAAAAAGCAGGGGAACAATACCCATTACAATAGCCACTAAATATAAATATCTTGGGGGTAACTCTAACCAAGCAAGTGAAGGATATGTATGGCAAGAACTTCAAGTCTTTGAAGAAAGAAACTGAAGAAGACATCAGAAGATGGAAAGATGACCCTTGCTCATGGATCAGTAGGATTAATATAGTGAAAATGGCCATCTTAGCAAACACAATCTACAGATTCAATAAAATCCCCATTAAAATTCCAACACAATTTTTATAGACCTTGAAAGGGCAATGCTCAACTTAATATGGACAACAAAAATTTCAGGATAGCTAAAGCAATCCTGGAAAATAAAAGAACTCCCAGAGGTATCACCATCCCCGAATTCAAGATGTACTACAGAGTTACAGTAATAAAAACTATATGGTATTGGCATAAAAACAGAGAGGTTGATTAATGAAACCGATTGGAAGACACAGACATAAATTCACACACGTACGAACACCTTATTTTTGATAAAGAAGTCAGAAATGCACAATGGATAAAAGAAATGGTGCTGGTCTAACTGGATGTCAGCAGGTAGAAGAATGCAAATAGAACCATATCCATCCCCATACACAAAACACAAGTACAACAGCATCAAAGATCTCAGCATAAAAACAGATACACTGACCCTGAGAGAAGAGAAAGTAGGGAAGAGCCTTGAACACATTGGCATGGAAGACAAATTCCTGAAAAAAAAAAACACCAATAATGCAGGCACTAAAATCAATAATTAATAAATGCAATATCATGAAACTGAAAAGCTTCTATAATACAAAGGACACTATCAATAGAACAAAAATGGCACACTACAGAATGGGAAGAGATTTTCACCAACTCTTCATCTCAAATAGGGCTAATCTCCAAAATATATAAAGAACTCAAGAAACTAGATATCAACAAAAAATCCAATTAAAAATGGAATACAGATATAAACAGAGAACTCCCTACAGAGGATTCTCAAATGACTGAGAAATGGTTATAGAAATGTTCAACATCCTTAGCCATCAAGGAAATGAAAACTAAAACTACTTTGAGATTCTATCTTATAGCTGTCAGAATGGCTAAGATCAAAAACACTGATGATGGCTCATACTGGCAAGGATATGGATCAAGAGGAACATTCCTTCTTTGCTCGTGGGAGTGTGTTGTCTGAGGTCTCTATCCTTCCTGGTCCCCGCAGTTGTTAAGTCCTAAAGAAATCACACAAGCCAGGCGATGGTGGCACATGCCTTTAATCCCAGCACTCAGGAGGCAGAGGCAGGCAGATCTCTGGGAGTTCAAGGCCAGCCTGGTCTACAAGAGCTAGTTCCGGGACAGGCACCAAAGCTACAGAGAAACCCTGTCTCGAAAAACAAAACAAAACAAAACACACACAAAAAAAGAAATCACACAGAGGTCTATATTAGCTATAAACTGGCCCAGTATCTCAGGCTTCTTATTAACTCTTACAAGTTATATTAGCCCACTATTCTGGTCTATATTAGCCAAATGGCTCAGTACCTTTTTTGGCGAGGCAGTCACATCTTGCTTGCTCTGTTTCTGGGTCAGGACTTCAGACTAGGACTTCTTTCTTCCCAGAATTCTCCTGTTCTCATTGACCCGCCTCTACTTCCTGTCTGGTTGTCCCACCTACACTTCCTGCTGGGCTACTGGCCAATCAGCATTTTATTAAGTGAATATAAGTGACAAATCTTTACAGAGTACAAGAGCATTATCCCACAGCAAACTGGAGAGAATATGGGGGAGGGGACTGACATAGAAACTTAGTACAGTGAGAACTCTCTGAAATCTTGTTTCTTGCAAGGGCTCTTAGTAATGGAGGATAAGATGTTTGATTTCCCCATCTTCTGTAACCAGACAAGACTTTCTGTTGTGGGACTGGACACCAACCCAGGCACAAAACCGTTCATCTACAAGCTACTCTGCCTGCAAGATGTACTGGGGCAATAGCAGTACAGAATGCAGGATAATGGAGGGGAAGATCTTGCTACTGTGACACAACAAACTAATGCCCCTGTAAGTTGAACAGTCCAGCTTGTCCTTTTTCTTATGTATGGAAATTATGACTGAGTTCTTCCATTCCAAGAGAACCACTTCATTCTCATATCTCTGAAGACTCTACAAAGCATCTTGGCGCCTGAGTATATTATAGCCACCTCCAGCTCCTCCACCCGCGATGCCGTTCACTCCTGGTGCTTGGAAGGAGTGTTGCAGGGATGCGTCCTCTCACCACTACTCTTTAGTATATTCCTGGAATTAATAATAGCAACATCCCTGGAGGATGAGGAGATAGGCTTGCAGATAGGTGGTGTGCGAATCAGTAACTTGCATTTCATTGATGATACAGCACTACTTGCTGGAAGACCAAATGAGCTTCAGGCCTGCCTAGACTGCACTGTAGCTGTGCCAAACCTCTCCAGTGAGTTCCTCTCTCTGCCCAACCAAAATTGCTCCTACCTCTCTTTCCGTTCCCAGCGCAGCCATGGCTCGTGGTCCCAAGAAGCATCTGAAGTGTGTAGCAGCTCCAAAGCATTGGATGCTGGATAAACTAACCGGCGTGTTTGCGCCTCGTCCATCCACTGGCCCTCACAAGCTGAGGGAATGTCTGCCTCTGATCATTTTCCTGAGGAACAGGCTTAAGTATGCCCTGACTGGCGATGAAGTGAAGAAGATCTGCATGCAGCGCTTCATTAAGATTGATGGCAAAGTCAGGACCGATATAACCTACCCTGCTGGGTTTATGGATGTCATCAGTATTGACAAGACTGGAGAGAACTTCGTCTGATCTATGACACCAAGGGTCGCTTTGCCGTTCATCGTATTACACCTGAGGAGGCCAAGTACAAGTTGTGCAAAGTGAGAAAGATCTTTGTGGGCACAAAAAGAATCCCACATCTGGTGACCCATGATGCTCGCACTATTTGCTACCCTGATCCCCTCATCAAGGTGAATGACACCATTCAGATTGATTTGGATAATGGCAAAATAACCGACTTCATCAAGTTTGACACTGGTAACCTGTGTATGGTGACTGGGGGTGCTAACTTGGGAAGAATTGGTGTGATCACCAACAGAGAGAGACATCCCGGCTCTTTTGATGTAGTCCATGTGAAAGATGCCAATGGCAACAGCTTTGCCACCTGGCTTTCCAACATTTTTGTTATTGGCAAGGGCAACAAACCATGGATTTCTCTTCCCCGAGGAAAAGGAATCCGCCTCACAATTGCTGAAGAGAGAGACAAGAGGCTAGCGGCCAAACAGAGCGGTGGGTGAACCGGTCTCTAAGAGACATGCTGGAGACGTATTTGTACTCTTGCTAACAAGCCTTTCTAGGCAACGTGCTAGATTAAACAACATGATGAAAACTAAAAAAAAAAAAAAAAAAAAAAAAAAAAAATTGCTCCTATATCCACCTCCCTGTGCTGGGATTAAAGGTGAGAGCCACCACCACCTGAATCTGTTTCTGGATCGATCTTGTGTACCACAGGGTAGTCCTGAACTACCTGTAGATGTATCTCTACCTCTGTCGCCTGAGTCCTGGGATTAAAGGTGTGTGACACCAACCACTCCTTGGTCTCTAGTGGCTTAGCTTTGCACTCTGATCTTCAGGCAAGCTTTATTTATTAAAATACAAATAAAATATCATTGCTTTCCCCTTTTGTCTAAGATAAAAATAAAGCTATAAATAATGTTAAGAAAAACTATATACACTAAATATAGTGACTATATGAAGTATATACAGGCAATAAATAAATCAACAATGTCTAGTGGCTTGCATTTCACAAATTCAGAGAAAATACTCCATTATCTATCCTATCTGGGTGAGTTTTTAAACTCTGGTACCTAATTTACTTTCTATAAAAACTTGCGTTCTGCATCCGACAAACAAGGAAAACTATAACTATATAACTGCCCAGGGTCCTAGCTGGGGTCATCTCCGTGGACTCCTGGGAATCACCAGTATTTTATTGAGTATTTTTGCATCAATGTTCATGAGGGAGATAGGTCTGTAATTATATCTTTCTTAGTTACAACTTTGTGTGGTCGGGTACTGAAAGACCCTCAAAGAGGACTTTCTCTCAGGAGGAGACCTCCCCAATGCCAAGGAACAGGCCGAAACCATACGGATGCAAATCGCAAGAGGTTTATTGGGTAAACACAGGTACCTGCGGGCGGCAAGTCTTTCGGAGGACTTGCGCGCCTGCCAACTGGAGGGCGGGTTTTTTTTATAGGGAAGAGCAAAAAGCAAGTTTACAGAAGAAAAAGCATGGTTATCGGAATGAGGCGGGGGCATGAATGGTTTTCTCTCTCAGCATGGGTGTCAGCAAAAGTCATCCTGTTTCTATCTTATAGATATCCTGTTTTGCAGTCAACCTGCTTTGTTGATGTCCTATCTTATTGATATCCTGCCTTGCAGTCTTCCTATCTCATCCTGCTCTCTCAAGCACATGGGATGTTCTAATGAGAGCAGGCTGGCTGCTGCGGCTTTTGAGGAGGGAGTGTGTAGGGTCTTTCAGGTACCAGGGTAACTGTTGCCCCGTAAAAAGAGTTTGGCAATGTACCTTCTGTTTCTATTGTGTGGAACAGTTTCAGGAGTATTGGTATTCGCTTTTATTTCAAGTTCTGGTAGAATTCTGCGCTGAAACCATCAGGCTGTGGAGCCGTTTACTTTTTCCGTACGCGAAATTCACTCGCGCGCTTAGCAGTACGACAATTTTGCGATTAACCGGCATGCGTTGCGGCTACACCTTTGTGCCGTACGGCTTCCTACGCATCTTGGACTATTCCCAGGACAAAGGTGATTCCTAGATAGATATGGGCCACAGCCCATCCGCTTGTGAGAAGAGCTTGCTGGAGGTCTGTATGTCTTTTTTTTTGGGGGGGTGTCATTCTTACCTCTAAATGCCCACCGGTTTGTGTTTTAAATTTCGTTAGCCACGTTTTCGGCATTCTTTGCTTGCTTTCAGGTCTCTGAACGTTGTTTGAATTTTGACTATTTAGCTTGTTTTAAGTATTTTGTTCGTTTTAGGAACTTTCAAAGTGTAAGAAAATGAGCAGACAGACTAGTTATGAACGGGCTGAGGATGTTTTGCTATAAAGGGGAGGGGCCTCAAACTACAGCGTGATGAAGTGTGAGTGCATCTAGAGGAGCTGGAGGGAAAGGCGAATCTACATATATGTGGGTAGCTACTGGGAAGTTAGAGCTGTTCGTGGATGTGTGGTTTAACAGGGAGCAGTGTGAGTTGTTTTTGATGCTCGAGCATAGTATTTCTGCAAGTGGAGCAGAATGGTCAGGCTTGGGCCAAACAATTCTTTATGGCTAAGAGCTCTTATTGTCTCTGTTGTTCTAGAGGATAATGGGTGCGACAGAGACCCAACTGACCATCTCTTGTCACCAAATGAAACTTTCAGTACTGGCTTGAGTTACGTCTGAATGAGTTGTTGGCCAAAGGGATCCCATGGGAATACCCAAACAACCATGGCTGTTGGCAAGACAACAGGCTGCTTTTTACAAACTGACAGCAAGGCCCATTGTTGGTGACAATAGAAACACAACTCATTGAACATGAAGAAGTCCTACACAGCCTTCAATCTCTTTGTTACAGGAAGGTACTCTGCATGACACCGGAAGACAAATAATGCAGTGCCAACCGAGCCAGGAGGTATGTCACTAGAAGTTTGGAAATGCCATTCCCATTGTGTACTCTATCTTGGTTTTAGACCCAGATATATGCTCTTAGCTGTGCTTGTAGCCATGGACTCTAACCCTCTGAACACCATAGAATGAAACATAAAACGTGTAAAAGGAATAGAGAAAAATCTGTAAAGCTGTGAGTTGGTCCCAGTAAGGTAGGTAATATGGAGGCAGAAATTGTACCTGGCACTCTTGTATTCAGGTCAGTTCCCCCACCCCCCCACCCCAGACAGAAAGGGCAGGTGCAGTGCTCCAGCAGGGATAGAAATAGCTCTACCGCCATAATGAGGGAATGGGTTCTGTACATCCTGTGCAATAGAAATTTCCTTCCCAGGAGACCTAGGGGTGGGGGAGAATCAGAAAAGTAGAGACTTTTAAGAAGCCTTAAGTTGGAACTACTTGCATTTTCCAAAGACCTGGAAATTGATTCTATTTTCCTGTACCACCACCTGAGGATGACATGCAGACAGAAATTGTTCCAAGCACTCTTGTAGTACACTGCGGTTTGTCTGTTCTTTTTTTTTTTTTCCCCAGATGCTATGGGCAGGTGTGTGGCTCCAGCAGGTGTAGAAAGAACTCTACTGTCATTGTGCGGAAATGGGTTCTTCCCCCACTCTTATATAAAGGCAAGCAGTTATTAAGTGGAGGGCACGAGGTCAGAGTCAACCATGGTGTCAGATCTAAAGGAGAAGGAACTGGGACAAGTAGAGACCCTCCTCTCGAATGGTGAAGCAATTTACCTCTCCTGGGAACAGAGGAGTGCCCGATGATTAGCATTAGTTCCTTGGAGCTTCTCAAATAAAAGGTATCTAGCAGGATTAAAGTAAGCAGATCACAGGGCATCCTCTTAGGCCATGTTTAGTCTGCATCTTAGCTTCAAAGCAAACCAGAGTTCAAACTGCAGAGGGAGCTCAGCATTTGTGCTTCAGGGCAGGTGGGATACCTGGGTGAGGTGAGCTGGATTCAGCTATCTGAAGCACATCCTGGCACTTATCTCAGGCAAGTCTCCCTGGACTCTGGAGGCAGGATAACACCCTGTAGAGTGGCATAGCAGGTTCTGTTATCAGGCACTCTTCTCCTTCGGGGCAGGGAAGGCCGGTCCAGCAAGGACCTCTTTGCAATCACCTCTGGAACTCCTCAGTGGGATGTCCGCAGCCTCGAAGTCAGGTCCAGATTTTATTTTCTTTCTGTGAAAAAAGCATAAACATACCCTCGACCCCAAATATACATAGGTCGGGTTTTTTCATAATGAATTGCAAGGGCTTTTTTACCTTGCCTTAGCAAAGGTCAGCTTGGTGTTATCAGGCCAGATCCATTTGCATCTGGATCTGCTTGCAACTTTTATAAGCTGCTTTGAAGGAGCCTTGTTTTGCTCCACAATTTTTTTTATTATTATTAGCCATATATGCAGTTCTTCCATTGGAAAAGCCATTTGTAAAATTTTAGCATAAAATCCTTTAAGGGATTTTTTGCTATAACATTAGTAAAATACAGTTGTGTGAATTGTAGCAATGATCTGGGAAAAGATCATTGTTTTTGCCTTTGAATTGAGCAAAGGCAATTGTCCAGGAATCCATCTTAAAATTATCAATGAATCTATTATTTAGTATAAGAAACATTGATCATAGTCAATTTTCCATATAGCCCATTGAAATTCCTTTTAATGAGACCTGGAGGCAGGGGAGAATTAGAAAAGTAGAGAATTATAAGAAGCTCCACACCGGACTGAAATCTCAAGGTCCAAATCAGGAGCAGAAGGAGAGAGAGCACAAGCAAGGAACTCAGGACCGCGAGGGGTGCACCCATACACTGAGACAATGGGGATGTTCTATCGGGAACTCACCAAGGCCAGCTGGCCTGGGTCTGAAAAAGCCTGGGTTAAAACCGGTCTCGCTGAACATAGTGGATAATGAGGACTACTGAGACCTCAAGAACAATGGCAATGGGTTTTTGATCCTACTGCACATATTGGATTTGTGGGAGCCTAGGCAGTTTGGATGCTCACCTTACTAGACCTGGATGGAGGTGGGTGGTCCTTGGACTTCCCACAGGGCAGGGAACCCTGATTGCTCTTTGGGCTGACGAGGGAGGGGGACTTAATTGGAGGAGGGGAGGGAAAGGGGAGGCAGTGGTGGGGAAGAGACAGAAATCTTCAATAAATAAATAAATTTAAAAAAAAAAAAGAAGCTCCAAGGTGGGTCTCCTAGCATTCTCCAAAGACCCAGGCCCTAAGAACCTGGAAACTGATTCTCTTGTTGAGTACCGACCTGAAGAATGATGATATCGAGGCAGAAATTGTTCTTGTCATGCTTGTATTCAAATGAGATTTCTTTTTTTTTTTCAGACACGAAGGGCGGGTGCATTGCTCCAGCAGGTGAGAACTCACTAAGGCCAGCAGGCCTGGGTCTGAAAAAGCATGGGATAAAACCGGACTTGCTGAACATAGTGGACAATGAGGACTACTGAGAACTAAAGAACAATGGCAATGGGTTTTTGATCCTACTGCATGTACTGGCTTTGTGGGAGCCTAGGCAGTTTGGATGCTCACCTTACTAGACCTGGATAGAGGTGGGTGGTCCTTGTACTTCCCACAGGGCAGGGAACCCTGATTGCTCTTTGGGCTGACAAGGGAGGGGGACTTGATCGGGGGAGGGGAGGGAAATGGGAGGTAGTGGCGGGGAGGAGGCAGAAATCTTTAATAAATAAATTTTAAAAAAAGAAAAAAGAAAGTTCAAGAAATTAGCAAATCAAAAAAAAAATAAAGAACTCTACTGTCATCTTGCGGAAATGGGTTCTATACCATATAGCCCATTGAAATTCCTTTTCATGAGACCTGGAGGTCGGGGAGAAATAGAAAGGTCGAGAATTATTTAAGAAGCTCCAAGGTGGGTCTCCTAGCATTCTCCAAAGACCCAGGCCCTAAGAACCTGGAAACTGATTCTCTTGTCGAGTACCAACCTGAAGAATGATGATATCGAGGCAGAAATTGTTCATGTCGTGCTTGTATTCAAATAAGATTTCTCTTTTTTTCAGACGCGAAGGGCAGGTGCATTGCTCCAGCAGGTATACAAAGAACTCTACTGCCATCGTGCGGAAATGGGTTCTATACCATATAGCCCATTGGTATTAATTTTCATGAGACCTGGAGGTCGGGGAGAAATAGAAAGGTCGAGAATTATTTAAGAAGCTCCAAGGTGGGTCTCCTAGCATTCTCCAAAGACCCGGGCCCTAAGAACCTGGAAATTGATTCTGTTCTTAAGAACCACCACCTAAAGAAGGAGGTACTTAGAGGGAACCCTTGCTGACTAGCAGAAAATAAGAAATAAAAAATCCCACAGGGAAGTTCTTACATTAAATTAACGGAACCAGAACCACAGGATTCGTTGATTCTGTGGTCCACGTACTTCTGAGTCCTGTTTCTCGAACTTTCCTCGCTTTGCAGTACGACAGTTTTGCGATTTTCGGCATGTCTTACGGCTCTACTTTTGTGCTTCCTGGGCATCTTGGGATGTTACCTTGGGCGAAGGCAATCCCTAGATTTTGGCCACACCCACAACTCCATCCGCATGGGAGCTCAGCTTGCTAGAGGTCTATGTCTTTGGGAGTCTTCTCACATCTAAATGCCCACTGATTTGCATTTTAAATTTCTTTAGCTACATTTTGACCATAACATTTGCTTCTATCCTAGAATGCCACTCTAAAAGGAATTTAGAGTGGACCCTCGCGGGCTGGAAGTCCTGATGTGTGACCATTAGGTGGTACCTGTGTGAACATGATCTGGTGGAAATATTCAGGTAAGTACACGTTTTTAAGAATTCTTGCTTCCTGCTCCTACTCCTGCCCCTTGCGCCAAGAGTTAGAAGGTCTTTATGTAATGTAATTGTGTCTGAAAAATCCAAGGTGAACCATTACAACACGGTTTGGGGTCTCAAGTATACCCAGAGGTCTGGAGCCTGGTTATGTCTTGTAGCAGAGTAGATGTGTCTAAAAACCAGTACCAAAAGCCAGATGGTAATCTCAGCACTCGGTGGTTTAAAGAATTGTGACTTCACATCCCTCGTCATGATAGAGGAGTAGAGAAACAAAGTCTATTTAGAATGGCATCAAAATGAATAATGTATGTTGTTCATCTGGAAATGGGAAGAAAACATTCATATAAATGAAATATATGTGTATAAGAAAAAGATTATGATATATGGTACATGATGTTTGAAATTGGTATTTCTTCTCACTGGGCTTTGTTTACTGCATACTTTACTATTTTCTTAAGAGTCTTAAGGAGTTTCAACCATGGGAAAATATATTACTGATATGAATATATGCCAGCTGTGTAAGGTACTGATGAAGACTAAAGTGACTATTGCGTGCAGTTAGTTTTAGTAAGAAATGTGTATAGATGTATGCATCTGTATACATGTTCACATTTTTCAAGCTGTGTTTTTCTATTTAAATAGTATTTTTTCATTTATTTTACATACCAACCACAGTTTCCCCTCCCTCTTCTCATCTAAGGCCCCTGTTTTTTCTCTCCTCGATCTCCATTCAGAAAGGAACAGGCCTCCCGTGGACATTAGCAAAGCATGGGACATCAAGTTGAGACAGGACCAAGCTCTCCCCTTGTATCAAGGCTGGGCAAGGTAATCCAGTATGGGGAACAGGTCTCCAAAAGGCAGCTAAGAACAGGTCCTGATCTCACTGCTATGTCCCTTACAAAAGAGACCAAGCTATACAACTCACATAGATGCAGAGGGCCTAACTTGGTCCCATGGAGGCTCCCTAACTGTTGATCCAGAGTCCATGAGCTTCTATAAGCGCAGGTCAAGCTGTGTGGTTTTTTTTTTCTATCATTGTCTCTATTAGTGTATATATGTGAAAGTGGACATTTCTAATAAGCATATTTATATTTGTTTGAGACAGAGTCTCACTATGTAGTGCTAGCTGACTTGAAAGTGTCTATGGAGATCTGGCTGGCCTTAAGTTTGCTGCAGTCCTGTTTCTGCCTCCTCAAGCTGGGACTACTGAACTGAAGCACTATACTTGGCTAGATATTTATGTTTGTGCTGATTTCTATTTAAATAGAGATAGATGTTCCTGGAAAGCTATATGTGCGTGGGAATAATGTAAATACATCAATCTTATTAAACCCAGGGTACACAGTTGGGTGACTGAATTGGGAGATGACAGTTTCAACCATTATTATTATTTTATTTATTTTTATTTTTATTTATTTTTTTTTTTTGGCTTTTTCAAGACAGGGTTTCTCTGTAGCTTTGGAGCCTGTCCTGGAACTAGCTCTTGTAGACCATGCTGTCCTCGAACTCACAGATATGCCTGCCTCTGCCTCCTGGGTGCTGGAATTAGAGGCGTGTGCCACCAATGCCTGACTCAACCATTACTTTTGAAATTTTGTTTTTGAAGATAGATTTCCTCCTTTGAGAGGTGGCTTGGGCATACTCTCCTGTTCATAGCTCTAGCTGAACTTGAATTTGCTAGAAATCTGATTCTCCTGCCTTAAAATTATTCACAGATACTATGACATTTCTAAAAGTATAATATTGAGACAAACAGCTCTTGGGTTTTTTTGTTTTGTTTTGTTTTGTGGCAGGGTTTCCCTGGGTAGCCTTGGCTATCCTGAAACTCACTCTGTAGATCAGGCTGGTCTTGAATTCATAGAGATGCGCCTGCCTCTGCCTCCCTAATACTGGGTTTAAAGGCATGTGCCACCATTGCCCAACTAAAACAAAACTTAACATCCAGATTTAAGAATTAAAAAGTCCTGATTTTCTATAGTATAAATATGGATTGCGTGTGAATTTACATTCTACATTATATAATAATTTTTAGGTTTTTTAGGTCATATACAGCTTTATTCTCATCATTTTTTAAAATTGATATTTATTGAGCTCTATATTTTTCGCTGCTCCCCTCCCTGTCTCTCTGCTTTCCCCTTCAATCCTCCCCCAAGGTCCCCATGCCCCCAATTTACTCAGGAGATCTTGTCTTTTCCTACTTCCCTTGTAGATTAGAACTATGTATGTGTCTCTTAGTGTCCTCATTGTTGTGGATTCTCTGGGATTTGGGGTTGTAGGCTGGTTTTCTTTGCCTTATGTTTAAAAACCACCTATGAGTGGGTACATGTGATAATTGTCTTTCTGTGTCTGGGTTACCTCACTCAAAATAATGTTTTCTAGTTCCATCCATTTTCCTGCAATGTAACATGAAGGGCCAGGCCTGCTTGTTTGTTGGAGTTTTTGTCCTGCCCGGTACCCCACAACTGTTTAGCCCCAAAGAAAATCACACATAGGTCTCCATAAATTATAAGCTGATTGGCCCATTAGCTCTAGCCTCTCACTGGCTAACTTTCACATCTTGATTAACCCATTTTTCTGATCTATGTTAGCCATGTGACTCAGTACCTTTTTCCATGGGGCAGATCACAGCCTGCTGCTTCGGTGGTCTGAGCAGAAGTGGGAGGAATCAACTTCCTCCTTCCCAGAATTCTCCTGTTCTCATTACATCATTTCTACTTGCTGTCTAGTTTTCCCGCCTATACTTCCTGCCTGGCCAGTCAGCATTTATTTTAAACATGATTGACCGATTACAGACGATTCTCCCGCACCACTGCAAACTTCAAGATGTCATTATTTTTTTCTGCTGTGTAGTACTCCATTGTGTAAATGTACCAAATTTTCCTTATCCATTCTTCAGTTGAGGGGCATTTAGGTTGTTTCCAGGCTATAACAAAGAATGCTGCTATGAACATAGTTGAGCACATGTCCTTGTGGCACAATTGAGTATCCTTTGGATAAATAACCCAAAAGTGGTATTACTGGATCTTGAGGAAGGTTGTTTCCTAATTTTCTGAGAAATCGCAGCACCGACATCCAAAGGGGTTCTACCAGTTTGCATTCCCACCAGCAATGCAGAAGTGTTCCCCTTTCCCCACAACCTCTCCAGCATAAGCTGTCATCAGTGTTTTTGATCTTGGCCATTCTTACATGTGTAAGATGGAATCTCAGAGTTGTTTTGATTTGCATTTCTCTGATGACTAAGGATGTTGAAAATAATTTGTGTTTTATGTACAAGTGTGAAAGTATTTATGAAAGTATGTTTTTCTATAGATGAATAGGATTTTCCCACTTTTCTTACATTTACTTAAAGTTTTTGAACTTTTTATTATTATTTCTTTGTATATGGATGTTTTGCCTGCATATCTGTCTTGTCTGCACCATGTACATGCCTGGTACCTGTGGAAGTCAGAAAAGAATATCAGATGTCCTGAAACTGGAGTAACAGAGGGGTGTGGGTGCTGAGACCCAAACTTGGTTCCTTTGGAAGATCAGCAAATGCTCGTAACCACTGAATCACCTCCCTAGCTCCCAACATTTATTTATTGAATGCTTATGTTTGTGGGAGTCCCAAAGCTCTAATATGGAGGTAAGAAGTTGGTTCTCTCCTTCCACCATGTGGTTCCTGGGGCTTGAACTCAGGTTGTCAAGGATGGTGCCCAGTGACTTTACCCACTGAACCATCTTGCCAATCCAATTAATAGAGGTTTGTAGTAAGAATATTTTGAGAACTGAAATTTTTATCAAAATAAAATGGGGCTAATCAATTAGATAATTGCAACTATTTTATTTTCTGACATTCAGATCTTGCATTTCTTTTACATTGCCAAAAATTTCTCAGAAATCAGAGCAGAAAATGCGACAGGCCGCATCTAAAAAAATCCAATTTCAATGCAAATTTTCTGTGGTGCTTCCCTGTTTTCAGAGAATTCTGGATTAAGGCCATCAAAGAGTGAGAACAAATATGCAAAAGACTATCTCTGTTTCATACAAAGTTCTTTCCTCTTGATCAGCACATGGCTAGTTTCTGAATCATTTGCAGAATAGTCTTAAGTACCGAAGAGAAACAATGGTAAAGTCATAAGCAAAAGCCATAGGAAACAGTGATTATGTAATATGGAAGAAAATATTTAAATGTGCTTCAATGTTAAATCATAATACCATAAATTAAAATTGTGTGATTTCCCCAAGACATGTACCACACAAAGAAGGGCCTTGTGTAGTTTTCAATTGCCTTGGAAGTCAGCTTCCCACCAGGCATACAAGGCCTAGTGTCAGGGTCAGATACAGAATAGGATGCCCAAGGAACTAGCAAACTGAACCTGGATCAGAATCAAGTTGCTGGTGATTCCCTGTTCTCCATGCCCTGAGCTGTGAGCATTTTCTTTTCCTTTCTAGGCCTGCATTCAGAAGACAATGAGATATCACGAGACTGCTCTGGAGAGAGGATGCTGCTGGCTAAAGAAGGGGGTGAATGAAGCAGCTCTTGATTTCTTTAAAACAGTAAGGCACCTGATGGAGGTAAGTGCTTTAAGGCTCACTTGCCTTGGTTTTGCTTTTCCTTTTCCTGTGGTACCCTTGTCCAGGATATCTGCCATTACTGTCAAACAGAAAGCAAAGCCTAAATCCTAAGAGTGGAAGTGAAGAGACAAGGTAGCCAGTTACTGGAGTCTGAGTAACTACCAATGGCAGTTGGTTTTGTTTGTTTGTGTTTGTTTTTAAATTGGAAGGGTGAGAACAAAGTGCCTACGCACAAAGCCCCTTGGCTTTTCTCAGACAACACTGCATTATGTGGAGATAGTTTTATAAATTCCTTGTCCTAGTCTTACTGTAATTTGTTATGCCATGTGTGGTCGCTATCCCTGGAAGATCTGTTCTTTTCTGAAGGGAAACAGAGAGAAGCATACACAGAGGGGAGAGGGAGGTGGGGGACTGAACTGGGAGAAGTGAAGGAAGGAGAAACTGTGATCAGGATGTAATATATGAAATAATAATAATAGTAATTTCCTTAGCCAAGAATTTTTCTTCCTGCTGGCCATAGCAGCTTAGGGTAAGTCTGGGTCTGGATGGGATCAAATAGGCCCAGAACCAAGTCTGGCCTCCCCATTGTTTTCTCTGCCAATGAACTGGAGTCAAGTGTTAGGAGAGGCTGCTATAGTTCTAGCTTCTCATTGGCTAACTCTTACATCTTACATTAACCCATCTCCATTATTTTATATTTTACCATGAGGCTTGTGGCCTACTGGCAAGGTTCCTGCTGGCAGCTCGCATCTTTCTCCACATGGCTTCTCCTTATTCCACCTACTCTCTTCTTCTATTCTGCTAAACCACTGGCCAAAACAGCTTTATTCGTTAACCAATAAAAGCAACACATATACAGAAGGACTTCCCACACCACTTCCCCTTTTCTGTTTAAATGAAAAGGAAGGTTTTAACTTTAACATAGTAAAATTACATATAACAAAACAGGTAATAGGTAAGAATTATAATTACAATATTTATGTCTACTTTATCTTTTATCATAACTAAGGAAAACTATAACTGTCCATTCTTCAACCCCATCAAAGACTCCAGAAGAATATAGTATTACCTAAGTAATCAGGAAGTGCATTGTAAGCAACTCCCAAAACTGTAGAATTCACAGAGACCTCTCACTGCCTGGACAGTCACCCAAAGTTCTTCTATAACATTGAGGCACCCATATTCAGCCTACTGGCCCATAGTATCTGGCAGACTTTTCATAAAGCAGGAAATTTCAAAGAGCAGAAATATGGATTTAGCTGGCACATGCCCATCTTCAGTCAAGTACCACCACAGGGTCTTGATGTTAAGTGACCCAGGGGCCAGACCAAGTGCACAGCTTTCCTGATTTCAGGAGTAGAAAATGGAAGGATAGTGGTGACAGTAACCTTCCCAGAGTATGTAGCTACTAGCAGGTGTCAAAAGAAAGGGAAGCTTAAAGGGAGAGGGGTACTGGAGAGCCATTAAGAATGTGTACTGCTCTTTCAGAGTGCATGACCCTGAATTCAGTTCTTAGCATCCATATACAGCAACTCACAACTGCCTCTTACTCCAGCTCCAGAGGATCCAGTGCCCTGTTCTGGCTTCTGTGGGTACTTGCACACACCTGCACATAGCCACATATGTGCACATAACAAACAACACCCTGACACACATGCATAACTCAAATAAAAAAGCAATGAGTTGAAATTTTCTAAAAAGCTTTCCTATGGAAAGGTGAAGAACAAGTTCTGTGCCCTCTCTTCTGGTGGGTGTTTGCTCTAGATCTGTGTTCTCAAACTGCTTCATGTGTGGGTTGCTAATTTCAAGTCTAGCAAGCAAACATATGAAATTTCTTTAGCAGCAGCTCTGTGCATTGCACTCACAAGACATGGACAGATTAAAGTGCTTAGGATAATGACAATCAAATGGAAGCCCCCTATTCCTTGTTCTAAGGGACTGGAACAGGAAACAAGGGCCCCAGAGCACCTGCGCTAGTGTTGAACAGGGTTGCTCTGGATTTGTTCACAATGGGAAGACCGCAGGTCCTGCCACACTGCTTCCTGTGCCACTATGTCTCTGCAGCAGTCAATCCACTCTAGGAACCTCACTCTCTAGGTATGAAACAAGAAAACACAGAAATCTGTATCTCTCATAGGACCTTAAAAGTCAAAAAGCCCCGGTAAGAAGCTCCGGTAGTTCCTCTACTATTGCTAGGAATCATGGGAAAGCAGCTTAATGGAGCCAGGAATTTTGAAGTTTTTTCCCCCATGATGGCAGTAGTGTTCTAGAAGTGTGTGCATTGTGAGCGCTTGTTTCCAGCCTTTTGTATCTGGAGGGGGTGGTGGAAGTGCCACCTGGAGACAGGGGCACCAGGAAATATGACTGTGGTCAAGTTTTGTCCAATAACTCAAGAGTTCAACAGTATTTCATTTTTAGTTCCCACCCCCAGATGGAACCAAGGCCTAAATTCATTATAATTCAGGTCTCTTCTTATCAGACGTGAAATATATTTATAGGGGACTTTGCTTTTGTTTTCCATAGTAGTCAACTTCATTCATTCAGTGAAGACCGGTAAAGGAAGCAGTTGCTTGAAGCCTGCAGAGCATCATATAATCCAATGGCCCCTTTTTCTTCTTAATTCACATTTTTTAAATTTTAAATTGTACTTATTAGGATTGTATGAGGATGGTGTGGTGTGTTTGTGCACACAGCATGGCATTTGTGGCCCAGAGTTAGTTTTCTCCTTCTACCCTTGTAAGGGTTTGGTTCTCAAACTCAGGTTGTTAGGCTTGTGTAGCAAGTGCTGTAACTACCATACCCTTTTGCCTGGCCCAGGCAAATGCCTTTTCCAATTAGTATAGACAGAATTGGGTTTTTAATTGGCTCCTCTCCCTCCCTTTGAATGCCCCTCCCACTCCAATAGGCTCCCTCAGCTTTTATGCCAGCTCAAGAGATGGGATCATAAACATCTGCCATCAAGCTAGACTGCTTTCTTTCCCATGCATGCCTTCAACTCCCATTTCAACATCCCAAGTTCTGGGATTAGAGGCCTCTGCCTCCAAGTTGGGCTCAGGCGATCTCTGACCTGGCACCTCCTCCATAACAAGCACAATTCCCTCCTCTGTATTAAAGTGTTGGAGGGAAGTGCCCCACAGCTGTCAGAATTTCTATCACAGGTTACTCGAGTTCTGTCTCATTTAACAAGAGGACATTCTCACTATTCTTCACTATTTCCTGCAATATCATAGGCTCTGTATGTACTTGTGTGTTTCATCTCTTTGGTATGATACTTAACACATTTTCAATAGCACATTAAAAAATAGTATTGGTCTAGAATTCAGAAAGTGTTGGTTTCTATTGCTATGATGAAACACCATGACCAAAAGCAAGAAAAAGTGGTTTGTTTTATTTGGCTTACACTTCCACATCATACTCCATACATAAGTCAGGGTAGGAGCCTGGAAGCAGGAGCTGATACAGAGGGCATGGAGGGGTGCTGCTTACTTGCTTGCTGCTCAGCCAGGACCCACAGCCCAGAGGTGGCACCACACAGTGGGCTAGGCACTTGGCCTATCAGTCATTAAGAAAATGCCTTTCAGTTCCCTCCTCTAGATGACTTTAGCTTGTGTCAAGTTGACATAAAACTAACCAGGACAGCTAGTGCACTAATCACGCAAAAAAAGCAGCACCAATAAGTAAATAAATACATAAAAACTTGCAAAGCAACTCATACTGGGGACTGAATATGATTGCTGCTCTTGAACAAGACACAAGTTAGGTTCCCAGCAGGCACGTCAGGTGGCTCACAGACAACTAACTCCAGCTCAAGATAACAAAACATTTTTGCCTGGGGAACCAAAGACATTCCTAGAATTGTTCCTTTGAAGATCCTTGCCCCTAAATTACCTAGCCAGCTCCAATCTCCTGATCTCACCATTTCTAAGAGTTAACTCTTAACTGGCAGTTAAAGAATTTTGACATCATTTTCAGGGCTTTGGGTGTGGTTGTTGAGTACCCTTTCAGTGTGCTTCCCTCAAGTAAGAAACCTAAAAAGTGTATAAATAAATTTAGCTATGTATAATGAGGAAGTCCTCCACTGGAGATGGGAGGCAAGGATTAAAGGCAAAAGAGAAGTTGGGTCTAGGGGTCTGGAGAGATGCTTTAGTGTTTAAGAACACTGGCTGTTCTTAAACTGGAGCATTTGATTTCCAGCACCTCCATAGTTGTTTACAACTGTCAATAACTCCAGTCTCGGGATCTGACACCCTCTTCTGGCTTCTGCAGGCATCATGTTGACCAAGGTTTTCTGTCCCACCCTATTTTACAGCCGTTAAGTCCGAAAGAATCACACAGAGGTCTACATTGGTTATAAACTGATTGGCCCATTAGCTCAGGCTTCTTATTTACTGATTTACTTACATTAGCCCATATTAATTATCTAAATTAGCCACGTGGCTTGGTACCTTTTATGTTGAGGCAGTCATATCTTGCTTCCTCTGAGGCTGGATCACAACCACAGACTGCGTTTCCCTCTTCCCAGCATTCTCATTGCCCACCCTCTACCTCTTGCCTGGCCGCCCTGTCTATATTTCCCGCCTGTCTACTGGCCAATCAGCATTTTATTAAAAATAATGCAGGTGACAAGTTAAAATAACATTGTCCCACAGCAAAGATAAAACACCCACATAAATAAGAAATGATATTTAAGTAGCACATGGAGGTTAGAACAGTATCCGTCTCTCTCAACTGTAGGTTCCCATGTGCGTGCTACAGTGTTAAAATTGACCAGAAGTTTGAAGTCTTCTGTCTACCCAGCATTCTCCTCATCAAAAGCATTAGTCAGAAATGGTTTTCTAAAAATATCTCCCATAGGTTATAAGCCTAATGTCTGGTATGATCCAAATATATCCTATACATAATTATACATATTAATAATTTTGTGTAGTTATTAAATATATGTATATATTTATATAACTTTTAATTATAGTTTACTACTTGTTTAAGACTATACACATGAC